AATTTTCAATAGAAGCCACTTTGGGGTCCATTTTGATCACATGTGAACTTGATTTTACACCTTAGGAAGGATCTAGAACCATTTCAAATTTTGGTTAATTTCATTTTCCCTCCAAATTCCCATTCCTAATCCCATTTCATGTTTTCACAAACCACATTCCAAACCTCATTTGGATCCAAACCTAAGGGGTATTTAAATGATTTACTCCAAACCTCACAAAAAGAATCCTCATAATTTCCATTTCATTTCAGAATTCATTCTCACTCTCTGAATTTTCTCTCAATTTCTCCATTCCCAAACATTCACCAAAGCTCTTCTTTGTTTGAATTCATTGATTCTCCATTGGAATCATTGATTTCTAAGAGTTAAACCTTCATCCATCATCCTCATTGAATTAATTTCTTCATCCAATTTTTGTGCAAGTTTTGATCTGAATTTTGGAGTTGGTTTGGAGTAGCTTATTTGAGTGGATCTTGCTTAATTTTGGTTGATCTTCACTCCTACTACAAGAACTCAATTGGATCTTGAAGGAATTCCGGATTTCTTGCTTCGATCTACTTATTTCAAGAGAATCAACACTAACCGAAGCAATTCTCTGCTTCCTAGGTTGGCAATTCTTGAGCTGATTCTATTTTTGAACTTATTTGCATAATTATCATGTGGATCTTCATTTTTGATTGATTTGATTAATTTTGATCCATGTGATTTGTAACCTTGAGGTGTGGATGTGTTTACATGCTGCTTGAATCACTGATTGCTGGTTTAAATTCGTGCATAATTGATTATGTGATCATCCCACTACTAGAAATACAATATTTAGCCTCGACCATTTTCCGACACTATAAGACAAAAAACCGCCGCTACTAGTCAATTAGCCTCGGTGTAGCGTCGGTGTTGGGGATAGGATAAAACGATCGAAGCTAACATTTAGCTTTGGCCAAAAAGAGTCGTGTCTACAATAGCCTTGGTTTAGTTGTGTCTACATTAGCCTCGGATTAGCCGTGTCTACATTAGCCTCGGTGAAGTCATGTCAAAAAACAAAAAATAGCCTGGGCCTGACCAATGCTAAAGTCAAACTCCATAAGCCACCGTAATATTTAGCCTTGGTCTGGTCGAGGCTAAAGGAACATTTTGCCTCGATTTATTCGAGGCTAAGTTCAAACTTTATAAGTCAACAAAATATTTAACTTTGGCTTAACCGAGTCGAGCTGATGTAGCTGCTGCCAATTGTTCAGCTCTAATTCTAGAAAAATAGATGCAAGCAATTGAAGAACATCTAGAACATCTTTCCAGTTCCATCCTTCCTAGGAACATATTCATTGACATCCATTCATTGCCAATTCCCTACAAAAGAACCCAGCTGATCAACCTTGTCATACAATCCTAAGAGCCCGCCCGTATGTATGAACAGGATCTTCCTCCCTTCCCATTTCTTTGGATTTTCATTTATATCTTTCACCATTGCATAAGCAGCCTTACCAATGACAAGTAATAAACAATATTCAATCAAAACATGGCCTATAGGTATTCGTAATTGATAAGTAAATGGCTAATCCTACTATAATAAGATGGAGGAAACTAAAGTTTGTGAACAAGATATTCGTGTGATGCACAATGAATGGCCTTCTGTTTGTGGAATAATAGAGAAGACATAATAGTTTTAATGAATTTGAAAGAGCACTACAACAATATACAACATGGGTTAAATAAATACCTGTATACCGGGTCAAGAACAACCCCTGTAGCTTCAACGATTACTTTTACAAATTTAAGTTCCTCAGAAGTGTTCATTGCATAGCCAATACCCTTGGTATGTAAACAATTAAATTTACATCATCAAAAAAAAGTATAGCTAAGCCATATGATGACGCAAGTTTTTCAGACCAGGCATGTGTTATAAGAACCATCATGCCATGACTTGTCATGCAAGCATATTATGTTTGCTGGAGTGTGATAATTGATTTTCTTGATAAGAACCACTATGCATGTATTTCCACAAAAGGAACCATATTAACAATACACTCACATTATGTATGTGGACAATATCTCTAGAGTTAACCCCGACTTTGAGCCTATCAAGCAAGTCTTGGACAAAGTTGTGGAAGTAATCTGGGTCATCACAAACTGAGAATGTATGCACCTGCAGGAAGCACCTAAATGATTTAAGCACCATGTAAAAAATTGGACTATGTGAGTCTTCTAAGAAAAAGGCATACCCTTGCTTACAAGGTACTCAATGATGAACCCAGTGCTAAACCAGGAATTGTGCCCCCACTGAAAATTGACAAATGTAGGTTGTTATTAGATGAATAGACAATGTTCTTTCATCATAGTATAACTTAGGCTCGCATTCACTAGTAAATTTGGTTGTAAATTATGACATGAAAGCACAAACATACAATTTTTCTTGGCCAGATCTTGTTTATTTATATTAAACCCACACTTTCAAAGAGAAGTCGTTATTTTCTCTAGAATACATCATGCATACATACTATAAGATGCCTGAAAGTTGTTATAGAAACAAGCTACTCTAATATATAGAGAATTCAACCAAGCTGAAAAGGAGGGTTGCAAAGGAAAATATAAATAAATTAAGTAGGCCAGAACCTGCCACAAGCCACAACAATATTATCAAACTTGACATTGCTTGTTCCACTTTGAATCAGCTGCTCAATTTCCCTAATAGCCTCTATGTAACCCCTGAACAGAAGAAAAGACATGAATAAAGTTGCAGTTGATTAAGGAAAAAGATAAGTATTAAGAAAGGAGTTACTTACCATGTTCCAAGAGAGTTTGAACCGCCAACTGGAATAATATATGGGTTCCTGCCTTGATTGATCAACTTTTGTTTGAGGAGGTTCGCAAGAGTTTAACAGAAAGCAAAGCAGTGAGTGAGTTGGCAAGAGTCTAACAGAAAGCAAAGCAGTGAGTGAATGAGTTGACAAGAGTCTAACAAAAAGCAAAGCAGTGAGTGAGTGAGTTGGCAAGAGTCTAACAGAAAGCAAAGCAGTGAGTGAGTGAGTTGGCAAGAGTCTAAGAGAAAGCAAAGCAGTGAGTGAGTGAGTTGGCAAGAGTCTAACATAAAGCAAAGCAGTGAGTGAGTGAGTTGGAAAGAGTCTAACAGAAAGCAAAGCAGTGAGTGAGTTGGCAAGAGTCTAACAAAAAGCAAAGCAGTGAGTGAGTGAGTTGGCAGGAGTTTAAGAGAAATGGAATTAAGGAAGGAGGAGATACTGACAACACTTCCAATTACTGAGTATTCTTCTTTGGATATAAGATGAAGTTGAGCTCCAATCAAACGCTCAACAAGTAGGTTGCCAGTGAGGGTGGGATCTTGGTCAACGAGGAGCTTAAAAGTGCGGAGAATGAGAAAAGGGTTGAGCTTCAAATACTTAGCGACAACGGCAGTGGCACGACAGTAGTTGCTTTGAATGCCTCCAATGGTAATAACAAAATCAGCATGTTGGGCAACAACAAGTTTCACTTTGTTTTGTCAGTTGAGGTAGGGTATGGCCAGATTTGGGGTCATGAGAATTCTTGAGCCAGTTGGAGATCTTGACAGATTAAGACTTCAGTGGACACTGTTGGTTTGATGCTGGGCCTGCTGCCCCGGTCTGTTGGAGAGTTTTATTCCACATAGGTGTGGTTTGCTTCTAAGTAGGTTTGAGGCCAATGTTTATGTCTGCTTTTGGAGTGTTAGATCTGTCAAGCATGGTGATGCTAAGGGTGGTTAGCTCTTCATGTTGGTCTGAATCCCTTATAGAATTGGCATTGTAATGTCAAATTCAGGATTTTGTTTAGGCCTAGATTTAGTTGGTTCAAGTTTAGGCCTAGATTTACTTCATCATCTATGGAATTATCATTTATACTCAATTCTATACTTCTATAATTATACTAAATTGTTTATAAATGCTGAACAATAGCCCTAAGGTCCAATTCTAAATGTGTTAAAGGTTAGATGGTTATCGGTGTTAAGGAATTAAAATGGTTGCTGTGAATTAGATGTAAGTTATGATTCCAACCCACAACTTGCTGTTAAGGAATTAAAAGGTAAATCCAAACATGTACTAGCTGGAGGCATAAAGTTTGTGAAGCTAAGACATGATAGATACCTGGTTTGGTTGACAGGGTAAATGAGTATGGGACCATTACTTGTGTCCTTGAGAATATTGCCAAATACTTGTTTGGCAAAGTCATGAATTTCACTCCTTGGGATCAGAAGGTTCAGCCAAGGATGGTGAACATCCCATAAGCCTTTTGCTTTTAGCTTCATCTCAAAAACATGCACTCTGTCCAAAAATTCCATGTAAGAAACTTCTGACAGGAATAGTGTTGGTTGAATGTAACTCAATTTTGACAGTAGGTGATCAACACCCTGCATTTTAATGTGAAAAAAAATTACAACTTTTTTTAGCCAATGAGATTGAATGCATGTTTGAATTAACACTCAGAATAGCGAAATCATAGCGGCTGTGATTTAGCTATTCTCACTGTAATTCAAACATCCATAGTGTGTTTTTGTCTTACCTGATTAATGATTTCAGCTTCGTTGGGATTGAAGTATTTTGCCATCTCAAGACAGTAAAAAGTCTTTCCATCTGAACTGAATTGGCTGGCTTGAAGTGGATCTTTTGGGTCAAAAGATAATCTCCAACTATTAAGGATACTAGTTCTATTTATGATTACAAATCCTTCAATATAATCAAATGTGTCCTTAAGTGATATCAAATATTCTTGATCTTTTGTAAATGTAGAGAAATCTGAATAGAGCACCCTAATCCATTTCACCTGTAAAATGTTTACAGATTATGTCATAAAAAAGTATATTCTTGGAAACGTTTTTCAGTACTTCAATATTAGAAATGAGGGTACAGTACACTCACCATCTTTGGTGCTGGTTCTAGAGAAATTCTAGCTCTGGTGATGATGCCGAATTGACCGAGCCCTCCAAGAACACCATGAAAAAGGTTAGCATTTTGATTTTCTGAGCATGTAACAACTTCTCATTTTCCTGCAATGCATAAAGGAATAATTATTCTCATTGTTTATAAAAAAATCTAAAACGAAACCAACTCTTCTTAGATTCTGTTTGAGCAGTACTTGTGACAACTTCCAACTGGAAGATGTTATTGATCTGAGGTCCATGTTTAAAATCTTGTCCACTTATTCCAGCGTTCGAAAGAGTGCCTCCAACTGTTAGGTGAAGATAATCTATCCAGGATTTCGGCGCCAATCTATATTGAAGAGTCTCATGCAGAATGTTTATCCACAACTCACCACCTGAGACATCTACATAAGGAAATTCACCTGTCTGAATTTTCATTTCAGGACCCTTTAGCGACTCCATTTTAATGACTAGTCCTTGATGTGCCTGTGCTTGACCTTGAAGGGAATGTCCATGGCCTCTAGCCGCTACCTTCATCTCTGAATCAGACCCTTTTTCAAAAACATGTTTTATGGCACGCGAAATATTCGAAACAGTTTTTGGATGCAACACTGCTAGAGGAGGAAAATGATGTATGTTACCAAAGTCCTTAGCAGCATCTTCATTATTTTTTAAGCTCAAGTGTCCATCAAAGGATTGTGATTGTAATGAAGTTAGGATTTGACAGTGTTGAATTGGAATTATTGAAGTTATAACAGAATTGTTGCAGCCTGAGTCTGCTTTGTTAATCATAAAATAAATACTAGTACATTGTTGATCCTACATTGTGTCCTAAACATCATGCATCAAGGTTTCAACCTCCAAATATGAAACTAAACAAAGTTCTGATGGGAATCTAGGTTGACTAACCTCCCAACAAACTTGGATAGTAAGCAAAGTAAAGAGCCAAGCATTCTTCATTATGTCATCAATGTTTGAAACATAGTCTTGTCATGAATTCAACTAAACACACATGACAACACCTTTTCAACAGACCACACCAGCAAAGAACATACAAATAAATCTACTAAGTCCCTACCTAGACTGCCTAAAACCTACCACCATAATATTGAGTAAATCTCTTTCAGCTAAAGAGCTTAAGAACGCTGAAGTACGCAATGCGGCCTAACCTTATTCTAATTAATAGGATGAATATATACTCTCACTACTCATAAATATTGTATCCATGGATCTTTATAATGGATCTGAAAGCAACAAACATGAGTTCAACATAACAATGTTAATCCTCAACTAACCCTATGTTTCAAAGGCATATATCAGCATTTTTACAAAAAAAGCAATAACATGCACATACTGCCCTAATGGCAGTCTTCCATTTAACAACCAAATAAATATAATCATAAAAGAAATTAATTTAAAAAATATGCCAAATAAGAGAGGTTTTAATTAAAATTTCTTTCTTTTGAATTCAGCAGTAACTTATCAGAGGATGACACATGGCATTGGATAAAAAAAATCTACAAATAATCAACAATTCCCTCTCCCAATCAATACAAGAACCAATAAAACACCTACTATGAAAAGCTCTGCAGCAACCCTCAAAAAGCACAATTAAACCAAAAGCACATATGCACCAGAGCCAAAATCACCCACCAACATTACTCCAAAACCATGCCCCTAATTCATGAGAATATTATAAAAATACACACAACAAAAGCAACTTGACCTTAATATCACTGAACAAAACAAAACCTCTATACACACAACAAAGCGACGCGATCTTGACACACACAACAAAGTAACCTAACATCAGACTAACGATGCCTTTGACCATTTGGCTCGAATTGTACGCGTACAACAAACAAAATAAAATCGTTCATGCCATTCCAATAGTAATGCAAATATTCTCAAAATTTCATAAGTGAAATGAACATTGAATCACAAAACTAATATCACAGTAATGCAAATCAATAAAATATGAGAACATTAAGACTCAATATACCATAACCAAAATGATAATTCCATAAACTCACATGTTCAGAAATACGTTCAATATACTTTCTTCTCTCTGATTGCCTCGCCATAGTCTCTAACCAACACCGTCGCGCCGAAGTTTAGGCTCTGTTAATTAATCCAAGTTCAATTCAGTTGAGAGCGAGGATTGTGTTAAATCTTAGTTAGGGTTGGAATTATAAATTCATGAATTGAATGCAAAACATAACAAAATATTAACCTTAAAGCGGAAAATAACACAAACAAATCGTTCTACCTTATTAGACTTAGGAATAAGTTTTCTAAGATTAGCAAGCTGAGTATCGATTCTATCTCTGCGTCTTTTCTCTGCTTGACTATGACTTTTGGAAGCACTTGCAGCTCTATCTTCTAATCTTCCTTCAACAGGTAAATGCCAAGACTGAAACTCACTACATTGAAAAGAAGCAGAAGAAGAATCATAGATAGTTTGAGGTTGAATTTGAGCAGGAAAGTGTGAACAAAGAGATGATCTTGAACGAAGAGATGATTTTGAAGACAATATCAGAAGAATAGATGATCTTGAATCGATTTTGTTTGATTTTAGGGGTTTTTTTTCTTCTGAAAATCTATTTGGTTTAATTTTAGGGTTCTTCATTCTGAAAGGAATGAAGAGGGAAACATGAAAAACAAGAGTGGGAAATAGTTAGCCTCAGCTCATCCGTGTCTATCAGATAAAATAAATAGATTCGAAAAAAATAAAAATAGTTAGCCTCGACTCAACCGTGTCTTATATTTAAAAAAAATAATTCAAAAATTAAAAAATATCTAGCCTCGGCCTAGCCATGTCTAAAGAATTAAATAAAAATAATTGTAAAAGAAAAAATCTAAAATAGCTTTTTTTTGCGTTTAAATAGCCTCGGTTTTGTCAAGGTTAGTTAGCCTCGGTGTCGGTGGCCGAGGCTAAATTCGCAGCTAAAAATAGTTAGCCTCGGTTCATCCGTGTCTAATACTTTAAAAAAATAATTCAAAAATTAAAAAATATCTAGCTTCGGCCTAGCCATGTCTAATGAATTAAAAAAAATTGTAAAATAAAATGGCTTTTTATGCGTTTGAATAACCTCGATTTTGTCGAGGCTAGTTAGTCTCGGTGTCGGTGGCCGAGGCTAAATTCGCAGCTAAAGTGAAGTTATCTAGTAGTGTCCGAATGATTGGATAAGTGCTTATGTGCTGAAAATGTTGTTCTGCTGTTGTTTTCTGTTGTTGACACAATGTTAATCGGTTAACCAATTGGTTAATCGATTAACCAATGCAAATATTCAAATTTTCCAACATTTTTAAGTGGTTAATCGATTAACCCCTGGTGTTAATCGATTAACATTGTGCCAGCAGCCCTGTTTTGCTGTTTTTCATGCTTGTTTGGTATAATTTCACTTCGAATCTTCACGGATCAGTGTGATGCATTAGGAGTGAGATGTTTTGGATATATGTCGTTGTTCTTGATTGTTTAATCATGATTATGTCGACACTCGTGTTCGGTTTCCACTTGAATGCATGCTTATGGATGTGGTTCAAAGTGATGATGTGCTTGCATCTTCTTGCATCTCTCGTTTTCATGCTTGAGGTTGAGATCTGCTTGTGGTGGCTGTTGTCCCACACTTTGTTCCTCTCTCACTTTCATTCTAATTGTGCATTACATGTTTGCATACTGCATTTTTTCTTATGCTTTCTTCTTCTTTTTGTCTTTCTTTGCCATGATCCCTTAGGACCTCTAATTTCTCTTGTTCAAGAGAGATTATGGTAGACCTTAGGTTTGAATCCATGCATGATAACATTAGGTAGCATTCCCTTTTATCCAAATTATAGGTACACTTTGCATGAGAACATTAGGTTGAGTCTTAGTCTCCCTTTAGAGTGTGTCTCTCTCTTCTCATCTTCAAACATCTCAAATCATCTAATAAAGACTAATTTTTGTTGTACGCTACGATCCTTAAGTAATTTAGGAATGATGATTGGGGGGCCTCCTCTCAATTGTCTAGAGTGTTTAGCGTATGTCTTTTGGACGATATGCGACACATTCGCTCCTAGGTCATAGTCTTTAGTGCAACATGAATTACAAACAATAATTAATGCACTTCTTCTCTAAAAAACACAAAAACAAAACCTCAATCTTTTTATCCTTCGGGATTAATTGAAAATCATTTTCAGAAAAGAGTGTTGTTAAGCTTTAGTTCTACCGCAAATAGGCATCGTCCCTAACTGCTGGAACGAAGGTTTAACCTTACTCGGCTAAAACACTTGAACCCATCTGTGATCGTGTCAACCTAAACCACGTTTGCTTTGATTTCTCATACCGGATGAATATACGTAGGCACAAGATGGCGATGTCTTGGTGTTGTACCCCAAAATTTGCCCAACCTTTTTCTTTACTTGGTTTATGTTTCATTTCATTGTTCTAGCATTTGCATTTTCATATCATTGTTCATTTGCAGGGGATCAAGAAAGGTATGCATAGCAAGAGAAAGTTACCAAGGTTCTAAGCCTAAGCAAGAGGTTTTATTCAAGCATGAGTGCTCATCAAGTCACCAAGAAGTGGTTAATGCTCTATGGGAGAGTAGATGGATGTATGTGGTTTATCTCCTATCTTGGAGGCCAAATGAAGATCACCAGAGGATCTCCTAAGGCGTATGCATGATGCTCCAAAATCAGAATTCGGCATTTCACAAATTCAAGCTATTCAGCCACAATTGGGCCTCCATTTGCTTCTTAACCCATCATATAAAAGGTTCAAATCATGTTTGAGCCTTCATTCAGTGAATTTCGTGTAAGAAAAGCTTAGGAGCAGCTTGAAAACTCAAGAGAAAATTCAAATTTGGAATCTGAGATTGGAGCAAATTAAGAGCAAATTGAAGTGATCAACACCTTCCTCGAGCTTCCTTGGGTGATTCTGCATCATTTGGCTTAAGCTCAACAGTCTTAGAAGCTCCAACGGAGAGACTCCATTAGGTAAACTTATATCTCAATTTTCTCTTTCAATATGCATTGATTTACTGCCATTGTTGTGAATTCTGAAGCCCTACACTTGGTAGGCAAAATCTGGACAATTATTGGTGTTGTTTGTGAGCATTTCAGTTTGTTGCTTGTTTTTTTATTCGTTCGATTTGGCTTGTCTATGAGTGATAAATGGAAACTAAACTCGGATTCATGTTCTACATAACGCGAGGATGAGTTTAGACCTAAATTTCGTCCAATTTGGTTCGGTTTTGCACCTGCTACACAGGTGAGGTCATCGGAGAAGATGACCAGAACAATGGTTCCGGCATCTGGTTTGATCTCCGTCTGGATGATCTTGTCTGACCTGCACGCGTAGATGGCTGACTTCCCAGTCAGCTAAATGAAACGGTGTGTTTCATTTAGTTGGTTCTGATGGGCTGGGTTCGCTAATGGCACCCCCCTTTCTGCGTGGCCCAACTCTTTTGCCTTGGTATTTTTCTATTTGCACCATTTAGTCTTTTCCTTTTATTTTTCATTTTATTTTAAATTCTGTTTTCATTTTTGACATTTAAAAATAGCTACAAAAATGATAAATTCCCAAAAAAAATATTTTTAGACACTTTAATGTGTCATTTAATTTTTGGAATTTTTTATTTTCATTTTTGTTTTATTTTTGAATTAAAATGGGAATTATTGGTTGAAGTGGTTTTTAAATGATCTTTTATTGATCACTTTGTGTTCTTAATTTGTTTTTAGTTCTTCCTTTTGATCCAATGACTGAAAATCAATCCTCATGTTGATGATGAGTTGAATGATTTTTGAGGACC